TGATCTACATATAACCCCCTCCCTGGGGGATGAACAACAGAAAAGTGGGTGAAGGAAGACATCGGTCAGTGTAAGACATGAAAAATAATAATTTATAAATTATCGAGAGGGAGGAAGGGTTTTGATACCAAGGGCTCAAGTAGAAAGAAAATGTTTTGAAAATGATGATGGCAATAAATGTACAAATGTGCTTGACACAATGGATGCATGTGTGTATTGTGATAAGAGCTGTGTGAGCCCCCAATAACATGATTTTAAAAAACCTCCCTAAAGCAAATTGGGGAAACATTCTAAGGAGCTCATTTTAAGGAACTCAAATCTAAGGAGCTATATAGGCTGTACTTTTTGTAAGACAGATTATAAATGATCTTTTTCCAAGACAGATTATAAAAGATTTGTTCTTTCTTCTGGAAGTTCATGGTATTATCAATATTCTTCTCTCGCACCATAATTCTAAGGCATCCATTCTTCAGTTTTCCTTATTTTCTAGTTCCTATGCATTTGAGGTGAAGGTAAATACAGTGGTTTGGGTCAGCTGCACCGTAGTTCTCAGAGAGAGACATCATAGCTCATTACATTTAAATGTTTTTTTTCTCCCCAGCAAATCTGCCCAATTTGATCCCATGACTGCTGCTTCCATAGGCAACGATGATGAATTAAAGTTAAATGAAATTCTTAATGACTTTCTTTCCCATTTATAATGAGGATGTCCTGTTGTGAGGACATCATCCTGTTTTCTTTACATTGATCTGTAATTCATACCGAAAGCTGTCGTCTTCATCAATAAGTGGTCATGCTTGTTTCAGCAAGCTAGGTGGGCTACCTGCATATTTTAAATGAGTCTTCCTCCAATCCTGATGAATTCTTCATGTAGTCCAGTTTCTCAGATAATTGCTCAGCATACAGATGGAATAAGCATGATAGAAGGATACACACCATTCATGATTTTAAACCTTGTAATAATCCCTTGCTCTGTTGGAAAGGCTGCTTCTTGGTCTATATGTATACAGTTTCCGTGAACACAATATATTCTGGATTTCTCATTCTTAACAATGTTATCAATAATTTGTTGTGACCCACATAGCTTAATGCCTTTGCATAGCCAAAGATTACAGTTTTGGAAACCCATTGGGCAGTTTTACTGTCTTATAGGGTCTGTTTAAGACCTGGCGGCATAGTGGTATGTGTTGGGGGTGCAACTTAATGTGAGTAATTTGTACCACCTCATACTCACCAAACCCATTGTCATAGACTCATAGCAACCCTACATACTTCATTGAGTCTTTAGGGCTTCCCAGACTGTCAACCTTCATGGGAGCTGATGATCTTGGCTTTCTTCTGTGAAGGTAGGTGTTTCTGAACCATGGGCCATTGGGTTAGTTAACCAACTCTTGTCCACAGTGTCACCATAGTTCCTGAAATATGTACTGTGCTGTTTGTTGTAATTAGGGCCGCCGAGTTGGTTCTGACCCATAGCCACCCTATGTACAGCAGAACAAAGCACCACTGGGCCTGTGCTATCTTCCCAATTGTTAGCTTTGAGCCCATCATTGCAGCACCGTGTCACTTCATCTCATTGAGGGCCTTCCTCTTTTTTGCTGTCCCTCCACTTTACCAAGCATAATGTTCTTCTCCGGGAACCGGTTTCTCCAGATAACATGTCCCAATTATGTACTATAAACAATATTAAGTATGTCTGTAAGTTTATATGTCTCTAATCTTCCAAACAGTAAAAATCTAATTTATGAACATAAACCAAACCAAACCTCATCCACTACAGCAACTTCATAGTACATAGGGTTTCTAAGACTATAAATCTTTATAGAAGTATACTAACACATTTTATTCCCAGAAGCCCAGCTAAGCTTTTAACTACTGGGTCACCAGAGCTCCCTTTTATAATAATAATAAAAGGCAATAAGAATGAAAAATTATATATACTTTTTATAATTATACAAGGTTTCGACTAATTGAGGATTTTAGATGTATATATTTCAGGAGATATATATGAACAATTTTCCCCCTGTATAAAATGTGCTGCCGAAGCGAGCACTGGAGATATATATGAACAGTTACAGGTAAATAGACCAATAATTATATATATATATTTAAATAATTATATTACAGTGCTATTTCTTTTAGAGGAATTGGGCTGATGATCTGTAAACTTCTCTTCAAACTTGCCAATTTCCTCCACTATTTAATGTATTACTTCAATTTAGTTTCAATAAATTTTAGTGTTATTAAAATAAAAAGAGGAACACAAGAAAACAGCCTTTTTAGACCAGGGCCGCAGTCCATCCAGCTCTATTATACTCAGCGAAAGAAAGACAAAAACAAAAAAAACGGCTGGAGCGTTTTGAACATTGCAAGATCCACACTTACCAGTTTCCGGGTCTCACCAACTCGGAATCCTATCCCAAACTTCCGGAAGGAGCCTTTGGGGGCGGAGCCCCAGGGGTTTGGGCGCGCCCCCATTGGTCCTTCCTGGGCGTCCGGCCCTAACCCCGCCCCCTGAGCTGAGGAACCAATGGAGGCGCGGGCTCTGGTTTAAACGCCGCGACTGGCGCGCCCGCGAGCGCCTGCGTCTCCGGCGAGTCTGGCTGTTGGTGCGTGTCGGAGGTTGCTGGCGTGGTGGGGAAGCCGGGTCTGCGGCCAGCAGGTAGGCCGGGCTGGGGCTTTGGCGAGGCGTCGGTTCGCGGCGCGGGGTTTAGGCACGGCCCTCGGGGAGCTCTCCTGGCCTGTGGCAGCCCCCTGCCCGCGTCAGGAACGGAGAGCTCTGCCTTCGGCGCCAAGAGCTCGGAGCTGGGTTAATGCCGCATGCGTAGGTCTTGGCGTTGAACGTCCGTAGGGTGGGCAGGTTTTGTCCCGTGCGAGCACCTCAGCCTTCGTAACCCTGGGGTCTAACGTGTACCCGTCACTCCTAGAGGCATCCGGAATGGCCACTCTGATCTATGTTGATAAAGAGAACGGCGAGCCTGGCACCCGTGTGGCTCCCAAGGATGGCCTGAAGCTCGCGTCCGGGTCTTGTAAGTATCCCAGCTGCGAAGTAGAACTGTCGTGGACCCTTTGTGCCTGTGGCCCCGAGCTGTTTCAGCTGTGTCGGGTACTTTGTCAGTCACTGGAGTCAAGTTTACTGTGCAAACAACTTGTTACGTCCCTCTTTTTTCTTTCTTGGCGTGGTTTCTTATTGGGATTATTTACCAGTCAGAAAATGCTCTTGGCCCATCATAGCAAAGCCAATGTCAAATGTGGGAGACCGTTCATGGGTGGGAATTAAGACATATTTACATATCAGTCTTCAAAGTTAAAATTGTTCGCTGCTTGAGTAATCTTACTATTTCTCTACAGTAGGCAAAGTCTTAGAAGGGAGGTCTCAGATTTCGACACCCCATGTTGGTAAGGTCTTTGATGCCCCACCTGCCCTACCCAAAGCGGCCAGAAAGGCTTTGGGGACTGTCAACAGGGCTACAGAAAAGTCCGGAAAGACCAGTGGATCCCTCAAACAGAAGCAGCCGACCTTCTCAGCCAAGAAGGTAAGTGTTGGCTATAGAGACACAGCTTAAACACTTCACTTTTGACTCTTTAAAAGACCATTTTTGGCCTCCCACCTTGTTCAAGAGGAGAATGTATAGGCTAGCAAACAGATTCTCAAAACGACAACAGAAACAAGCCCCAAACTCACTGCCATTGAGTCACTTCTGACTCATAGGGACCCAGTGGGATAAGTACAAACTACCCTTGTGGGTTTCTGTGCCTCTTTACCGGAGTAGAAAGCCTCAGCTTTCTGCCCCTGAGCAGCTGCTGGTTTTGAACTGCTAATTGCAGTAAAGTAACCCATTATGCCAACAACTTCCTGGAAATGTCGCTCAGTCGAGGAAAGTAATACAGCTCTTGTGGACCTTGAGATTAATAATCGCAGAGACAGCAAATATTTCTGCTGAATCAACCACTAACTAGGCTCTTGAAACAGATTAGTCAGTAGCACCCACCTACTGTGAGTAAAATACTTCTGCCTCAGTAGAGGTCACACTGCTAATATTGCCCAGTTGTTTCCATGTGCCCACCCATTTCCAGCAAGCACCAGCTTGTTAGGTACCAGTCTACTCATGTGCTGGCCTGTGTTTGCGCACATGCATTAGCTGCTTGCTGGTGAGAGGACTTCGCTGTGAAAGATGGCTTTAGCTGACATGGGAATTAATACTTTAATAATTATTGAATGTGGTTTTTGTTGTTTTTAAAATTTTATTGGGGGCGCATACAGCTCTTATCACAATCCATACATCCACCCATTTTGTCAAGCACACTTGAATGTTATTTAACAAAAGACACTACATCATACATAAAGTGTGACTTAGGACAAAGTTGTCTTTTTATTTAAAAAAAAAAGAGTTGACGTGGGTATGTTAAACAAGACAAGGATGTGGCAACAATACTGAGCATGTTATACAGAGAGGACTGTCGGGATTTCCTCCAGTGTGTATGTGTGAGGTAAGCTAAAGCAAGACTATCTAGGCTACTGTTTTGGTCTGCTGCCTGCCAATTCCAGACGAGAGGGTTTCCCATCGTGGATTCCTAAAGTCTTTAGTTGTCTCCATTTTCCTGACTCAACTCAGTGCAAGGAGCTTTGGAGGTGCTGTCCGGTAGGGTCAAATCCAACAGCCTCTGTGGGAGACAGATGAGACTCTTCCCAAACACGTTGGCAGCTGCGGAACCCCTATATAGAAATTGACTTGGATATAGGGAGGAAGAAGTGCCACATTTTGTAGAAAATCGAGGGCCACAGATTGTTTTTAATATTAACCCAAGTAAATAAGATAACACTGGTCGATAACCTCACTCCCCAAAGCCAAAATGACTTCCAGGATTAACTACTATTCTGGTAACTCATGCCTATTCTCTATTAGATTGAATGTTTGAGTTGATTAGCTCTGAATTAATTCTGCTTTGTATTCTTAATAGGTTACACTGACAGGTGCTAATACTTAAATTTCAATGCACTCACTTTTAAGCCATTTAAGCAGGAAACACCTGCCGTGTCATATTTGTGTATAATCATGAGAGCTAAGGATTATGGCTTCTTAGAAGCCAGCATGAAATCGACAAATTTGAAACTGGTGGGGTAAGCCACAAGCCTTTGAAAGGCTCCACAGTTTATGGGTGCTATATTTTACTAATTTCATATTTTTTGGATTGTTTTAGATAACTGAGAAGACTGGCAAAGCAAAAAACTCTGTTCCTGCCTTGGATGAAGCCTATCCAGAAATAGAACAATTCTTTCCCTTCAATCCTCTAGGTAGTATCGTTTGGTGCTGCAAAAATGATTTTGCCCTTGTTTCTTTGAGAATTCAATTTAGCTGTAATTTGAAACAGATATGGTATATGACACGGGAGTGAAATCAAAGCCTGAATCTGGCTTGCTGACAACAAATGTATTTGCTGATGAAATTATTGGCAAGGTATCTTAAGCATGGAGGGGGGAAGGGGTAAAGAGGGTAAAGATGGAGGATCTTGTTCTTGTCCTGAAAAACATGTAACAGATATGATCAGGTATAAATGGTGAGTTTTCCCTGCAATGCTTTTAGAACCTGGGCCTTGCGTCAAACTGAATAATGTCTGAGATTACTTTGGGTGGGGTTAAGTTAGGAAACATCCATGAAGCCATTGAGAACATGTTATTGTTCTTTAAACCTGCTACTGGTAGCTGAAGTATTTCCTGATAATAGACTTTTCAAGCTCTGATTTTCTCAGAGATTTGAGCAGTGTGTTAGACTTCGGATGCATTGGTTAGCAAGTCAGACTCTTTTACCTGTGGGAGCTTACTATTTGGAGGGAAAGTCAACGCTGTTCCTGAGTGTAAGGGAGAAAAATAACCTGTGTGTGGTTACCGAACCTAGTCTTGGCAGATCAGGAAGTGTCATGCAGTTGAGTTTTGAAGGATTAATGGATTTGTGGAAAAGGAGAG